AATATATCCTATATAATATATATGGGACTAATAACATATAATATTTTGTGTGTGTGTGTGTGTGTGTGTGTGTGTATTTAGACAGTCTCTTTGCTCTGTCCCCCAGGCTGGAGTGCAGTGGCACGGTCGAGCTCACTACAGACTTGACTTCCTGAGCTCAAGCAATCCTCTCACCTCAGCATCCCAAGTAGCTGGGACTACAGGTGTGCACCATCATGCCGGCTGTTTTTTAAATTTTGTGTAGAGATGGGGTCTAGCTATGTTGCTTGGGCTCATCTCAAGCTCCTGGGATCAAATGATCCTCCCTCCTTGGTCTCTCAAAATGCTAGGATTACAGGCATGAGATACCGAGGGCAGCTTGGTCCTATTTTTTGAGACCCCTTGACTGGATGTTTCAAGGGAGCATATTCTGGCTGAGTTTACTGGAGAATTTTCTTGTAGAGCTTGTTATGAACTGAATGTTCATGTTCCTCCAAATTCATATGTTTAAATTTATTCCCCAATATGATCATATATGGTGGGGCCTTTGGGAGGTAATTAGGTCATAGGGCAGAACCCCCATTTATGGGATTAGTGCCCTTCTAAGAAGAGACCAGGCTGGACACGATGGCTCATGCCTGTAATCCCAGCACTTTGGGAGGCTGAGGCAGGCGAATCACCTGAGGTCGGGAGTTTGAGACCAGCCTGACCAACATGGAGAAACCCTGTCTCTACTAAAAAATACAAAAAATTAGCTGGATGTGGTGGTGCATGCCTGTAATCCTAAGTACTTAGGAGGCTGAGGCAGGAGAATCGCTTGAACCCAGGAGGCGGAGGTTGCGGTGAGCTGAGATCGTGCTATTGCACTCCATCCTGGGCAACAAGAGCTAGACTCCATCTAAACAAACAAACAAACAAACAAAAACCAGACAGCTAGCTCTCTGTCATGTGAAAATACAAGAAGCCAGCCATCTGCCACTCAGAAGACGACCTTCACCAGACCCTACCCATGCTGGCGCCCTGATCTCAGTGTTGTTCTAGTAATTTATTGTATCTGCCGAAACCAACTAAGACAAATAGCCACATCTTCAAAGTGTTCTGCCTTTTAGGACTTTTGTAGAGGGGAGAGAGTGTGAGTATGAGGTTGGACCTGATTATTTTAGAAACTCCTTCCAACCTTAGGTGTCTGTAAATTCCTTCAGGGCAGATTTTGTGTATTTGAATTGTCACCCTTCAGAGGAGATGCTTAGGAAATGTTAAAGATACTAAAGGAGCACAGCCCCAGGACCTAGACAGTACAGGGACTGCTTTGGATGTTCTCATTTGATCATTGTGGGCTGGGCTGTGGCAGACTCTCACACTATCTGAGCCTCTGTTTTCTCATCGGTAAAAATGCAGAGTAATAATACTAGCCCTTTGGGAAGCCGAGGTGGGCAGATCATGAGGCCAGGAGTTCGAGACCAGCCTGACCAACATGGTGAAACCCCGTCTCTACTAAAAATACAAAAATTAGCCGGGCATAGTGGCACGCGCATGTAATCTCAGCTACTCAGGAGGCTGAGGCAGGAGAATC